AGCAGGTCGAGGCTGCGGTGGCCAGAAGCGGCCACTGCACTCCAGTGTGGGTGACAGAGTGAGACTCCAACTCAAAAAAAAAAGGATGGGAGCCAGGTGCAGTGGGTCATGCCTATAATCTCAGCACTTTTGGAGGCCTGAGCAGGAGGGTAACTTGAGCCCAGGAGTTTTGAGACCAGCCTAGACAACATAGCAAGACCCTATCTCTATAAAAAAGTAACCAGGCATGGTAGCATGTACTTGTAGTTCTAGCTACTCAGGTGACAAAGGCAGAAAGATCACCTGAGCCCAAGAGGTTGAGGCTGTGCTACCACTGCACACTGACAGATCCCAAATCAAAAGAAATAGGAAAGAAGGAGGTAAATTAAAATGACAGTTTTGTTTGGTTTTTTTGAGGTGGAGTTGCCTAGGCTGGTCTCCACCAGCAGTCTTCTAGCCATCACCTCCCAAAGTGCTGGGATTACAGGCATGAGCCACCCCACCTGACTCTATTCCATTGCTTCATGAGACTCAACCACACGAAGGGTTAGCGAGCCCCAGAAACTTGCAGCAACTCTCCCCTTCGGTCCTTGCTTTCAAGTTAGGGGTACACTTGCTCTTGGCTATGGACAGTGTGAGTGGGCCTGAGGGATTGGCCTCGGACCAGTCAACCTCTAGGTTTGTAGAAGTTAGGGGAAGTATGAGATTTGGAGGAAGGGGAGGGGAAGGGAGAACACTTGGAGGAAAGAGAAACTGGTGTGGAAAGGAAAGATGGCTCCTAAGGAAGGTGCTGAGGCAGCAGGTATCTGACCCCTTCCTGGCCTGCCCCATCCCACCTCAGCACCACCTTAGTTCACCTCTCCTTGCTGTAGCAGAGGAAGGTGCCAAAAGGGGAGGCACAGGTGTGCTCAGATAGCGCCAACAGCAGCCCCTCCCCAAACTCCAGTGACAGTGGGAACTGGCGGCCCAGCTGCCACACGCAGTCAGTCCAGGAAGAGGAGAAAGGTGTGCTTGGGGTGGGCATGAGAGAAGGCCGAGTGGACACAGTGCAGCTGCAAGGGGTGGCCGGCCTGGAAGGGGACAGAGCAGTGGGCACAAGGAAGCCAGGTTTCTGGATGGAGGATTAGGGCTGGAGTCAGGTGGTCACTTACCTGGATCCACTCCCGCTCCACCAGTTCCTGGAATCCAGCCATGGTCCAGCTCAAGGGGTCCAGGATGAGCTCGGCCAGCAAAGCCACCCGCAGAGTGCTGTCCTTCAGCCCCACTCACCAGGACAGGCTCCTTCCCTGTGGGCCCAGTGCTCATCAACAGTGGCCAAGTCTTTCCTTGCCTGGAGTGGCCAGGCTAGGAATAGAATGGGCCCAGTTCCAGGCTGTATTTGCTTACTGTGTCACAGTTTTGGGACCAGGAGTTGACGGCACTGCCCATCCCACCCTCTTCTCCATCTCACAGGGGCCTTACCACTCCATGACTTGGGCTGCCAGGCAGGCATTGCTTAGTGCCTCCTTCACATGTGTCAGCCAGCGGCACCCCTCTGACCAACTAAGCCAACAATCCATGCTCTACTCTACTCTGGGTCCCCACAGGCCTCCCCCAGGCACCTGAAGCTCTCCCGTAGGGGCCACCCCCGGGCAAATGGAAGACTGGTCATCCTTCCCCCAACCCAAACCCTTGGTGAGTACAGCCTGGGAGAAAGTGCTCCAGACCAGTGAGGGAGACACAAGCCTCTGAGGAGCCCTTCTGATAAGGGGGATGCAGAACCCTTCAGGAAGCCCAGTCTCAGGAGCACAGAGTCCACTGAAGAGTTCCTAATCTGATGGAAGATACCCAAGACCCTTTGGGGAGATGTAATCTGTTGGGGAGAGCATGGCATTACCTGGAAAGGAGTCACATGTCCCTCTGGGGAAACACAGAATGCCCTGGGAAACCCCTAATTTGATGGAAGTGTCATAATACCCTTGAAGTACCCCATTCTGATGGGAGCAACATAGTACACCCTGGGGACCCCAGTCTGACAGGAGAAACACAATACTCTTGGGATTAGCAGCTGCTCCTAACTCCCAGACACTGCTCTGCTCAAGGTCACCAGTGACCCTACCAGAAATGGAGACTTTTCAACCCTGTTTAAAAACCTTTGACTGGGTGCAGTGGCTCACGCCTATAATCGTAACACTTTTAGTTTTTTTTTTTTGAGTTGGAGTCTCACTCTGTCACCCAGACT